TGTTGTTGAATGATGATCTCTTGAGTGATCCATCGACTGAGTTTCATGATGATCTCGAGAACTCTGACAACCTCTGATCTGCTCAAAAAGAAAATATCTGAGGGACCTGTGAGGGTCTGAACTGATCAAGTTATTTTATTTTGTTTCAGGGTCGTACGACCACACGCTCAAAGTGTTCGACGCCAGAACGGACAAGAGCGTGATGAGCATGGACCACGGCCAGCCGGTGGAAAGCCTCCTCCTCTACCCTTCTGAGGGACTCCTCGTCTCTGCAGGTTTGTAGCACGTGCCTTAAAATTGCATTCTTCCTCAAAACTGGTGGGTGATCAAACTTAAAYCTTGAACTTTTATGTTTAGGTGGGCGCTACGTTAAAGTGTGGGATTTGTTAAAAGGTGGTCAGCCCCTGGTRTCTTTGAAGAACCACCATAAAACCRTCACCTCTTTGGCTCTCGGCAGCAACGGACAGAGGCTGCTGTCAGCCTCCCTGGACAGGTAATGCTTGAATAGGATTCTCGAAGTCGGCGTGATATCATTCAGTCACGTGATTTCAACCTCCATTTTTTTATGGAGGAAAATAAAAGAGACGCAGCTGAAGGGAGCAGTAAACACGGGAATCTCGTGGAAAAAACACTGCTGTCCATTGTCAGTCTCATCTTTCTCTTAAACTGAAAAAAATATAACCCCCCAGACCCTCTTTTTGACTGAGGCTCAAAATTATCAGACAAGCACTAAAAAATCTACAGGAAGAAGAAAATAAAAAGAGGCGAAATTTGAATGAGATTGGTGGCAATGACGAGCCGGTGAGAGCAGGACTTTATTAATTAGATCTGTGACTTTTTACATGTTTGGATTTTATAGTTAGTGTGTAGTTTTGAGTGTTTACTCTTCATTTTAGCCAGTTTTAGTGTGTTTTAAATCAAAACAATGAGACAATTATTTTTAAACAAGAAGCACGGAGGTCTGCAGAGGCAGAACAACACCACTTTTCTTATTTCTCTCCCCTCACTCTTGCAGTTAGAAAAAAAATTATATTTTATCTCTGGRTGTATTTTTACGTGAGAAGTGCAGTCCTACAGCAACTTTTTACAATTTTTCTTATTTTCCACAAAGAGGAACTCATCCTATTTTCCCCCCAAACCAATATGTCGGCCTCCGTCTACAACGTGGTCACGTGACAAAATACCCGGCTGTTCGACTTTGAGAATGTCGTTACTTTTCATGTCCCTTTTTTTCAGAGTTATTTTAAGAGTAAACACATGAGTGTGTTTGTTGGAACCCTTTTAGATTTTAAAACAATGCTTCATTTCTTGTTAAAGTGATTCAGTTGTTGTTTTAATTWTTGTGGAAGAGTACCAACTAACTCATCCATATGTATGAGAACATCCTTGTTGTGACTTCCCTCTTTAGAGAAAAGCTGAATGAACAGTTCTGATCTGAACAGGCTCTATTTATTTTTCAGGCACGTAAAGGTCTACAACACAACCAACTATAAAGTGGTCCACAACTTTGATTATGCTGCTGCTATCCTCAGTCTGGCTTTGGCTGTAAGAAAAAATATGCATTATGTTTTATTACAAACATGCCTCTTACACAATGAATGGATTACATCTCATGCCTTGCTAGATAAGTAGTGGCATTACATAAATTTAGCTAAGATTCTGCCTTTCTTTTCAGCCAGCGGATCAGTCCATTGTCGTGGGTATGACCAACAGCATTTTGAATATCAAACACAGGAAGAACCCTGAAGAGTCGAAGGAAGTAACGCGCCAACAAAGGCGGCGTCCATCGTACCGTGTCTTTGTGAAGGGGAAGAACCACGTTCCAAAACAAGTGTGTGAATGTTAGCAGACTGATTCAAGATGTGCTCTGTTACCAAAAGACCAAAAAAAAAAAACAAGGTGCAACTTAATCGTCTTTCTTGGTTTTCAACATTTTATTTCTCTGTTTACCATCTTTTTCCAGGATGATTATCTTGTCAGTAAACCAGTGAAACAACATTTGGCCAAATATGACAAACAGCTCAAACAATTTAATGTATCTAAAGCTTTGGATACAGCCCTAGAGGTAGGTTTTCCCTCTTTTCTGAGTTGTACAATGTGCATGGCACAAACATGAACAAAGAAAGCGTCATATGGATCGTTTTTATTATTTTTGCAGACAGGCGTTCGAATAAGAAAGCCAGAGATCACTGTGGCGGTTTTAAAGGAGCTGGACCGAAGAGGAACGCTGAAGAACGCACTCGCAGGAAGAGATGAGAAGCAGCTGTCTGCGTTACTCGGATTTGTCATCGGGTACGAAGCAGATCAGGTTTTATTTCTTAATTGTGTTAAAAACAAGTATGCTAAGTGGACTGAAAAGGTTTGTTCTCATAGAGGTGAAGATTGTGTGGATTTCTGAATGTCTGAAATACTGGAGTCAGGGGAGTCGTTGGAACATGAACAATTAGGGATGCTCAATAACTTATTTTAAGAACGATAATAACTGATAACATGCCAGGAGATCAGATTAGTCAAAAATGGGTAAGATCATAACATAAATAAACAAGACAAAAACCAAAGGACACTGTAAATTATATTATTTGAAATAAACTCTTAGCAAGCAAACATTTCTTAAAGTATATCAAACAAAACAATTTCTCAAATGGCCATTTTTTTTAAATAAGGCGCATTAATTATAAAAAAAGACTAACACTGATCTCAGGTTTAAACAGAAGAGAAAAAGTCATTCCACAAGTTCAAAACAGATTATTCATGAACACAAGTTATATTCAAAGTGCATTTGTTTTTATTATATTTAATATATCATTTAAAATGTTTTTCTGCCTGAAACAGTGCTTCTGAGATAATCGTGCACAAACGATAACCTGTCAATCAAAGTGTTAATGCATTACGACTGCAACATACTTCCACACAGAGTTAGCAGCAGCTCGGCTGCTAAACTGTGGCTAACAAGGCAATAAAATCCTGTCTTTAGCGAGGGTGAACGGCTGCTTGTCATCGTTTCCATCGTTAAATTGCTTGAGATTTTTGTCCTCTTTGGCAATTTTTTGGGATTTGTCAAAAGCCTCAGCAATGATTTACGTCCCATTAGCTTGTTGTTGTTAGCATTTTTAGCAGCACAGACTTTGTGCTGCATTCAGGAGGTAACGGACGTTACATGTTCTCAAATTGGGRGTACGGTAGTTGTTCCGACCTATTTATGTTTGTAATTAAAGTTTGTCTGTAACAYACATGGTTAATTGRYAGAATAATATTAATGATTTTTAAAATTATGTGGGTTTTTTTTTCCAGCACAGAGTATTCTAATTATTTTTCTAGTGAGAAAGTTGTTTTTTCCGACGCAGCTTGAACGTTGCGCGGGTTGGGAAGGACGGGGAGCGGCTTGACCAAAAAGGATAAAAATAAATAAGCACACTTACTGCTGCGCTGGCAAACGAAACGTGTWCATATATTATCGGTTCTGTTTGTTATAATATCGKGCCGATAGTTATCGTGCACGTGAACAATCCCAGAATAAATTAAACAGGAGCGTTCATGAYGTTTTGAGTACCGGTGTTGAATTATTTCATTATAACCAGAGACATTATTTTCACCACTTTTTTTGTTTCCCTTCAGAAACATGTTTGATGCCAGGTTTACGCCCGTCCTTGTAACAGTGGCTGAAATAATCCTGGACATCTATAAGTCCGTACTCGGTCAGTCTGCAGTGGTCGACCGTCAGATGATCCGCCTGCAGGAGCAGCTGGAGAGAGAAATTGACTACCAGAGACACCTCCTGGAAGTTCTGGGCATGTTGGACACAATGTTTGCTTCCTCCCTCCCACGGCAGGAGGTTCCATGCTCCGGCACCATCAGTGGATCTAACGGGYTGGTTCAGGGAGACGCAAGTACCTCCAGGTCGCAGCTTCAGGTCACCTGAGACTTGTGTGGGAAAGAACTGCTTTTAGACTGATTTAAAATGTCTTTTTGAGACATCGGACACAACTTTTCTGTCTTTAAACATCCTCAAATACTTGTTCTGCGACAAATACAGGTATTAGATCTGCCTTGGATCCTTCATTTACAAATGACTTTTCTAACAGGTGTCACTCAGAACTGGAGCTTTCCAACGTTAAACATCGTTGTACAGAACTATTTTAATTTTTAGCTGTTTTGTACCTAAATAAAATGAGATTATTGTGTGAGATCTGAACTCTAAAAACAGAAGTGAACTTTCATCCAACTGATTATTTATTTTTGCAGCATTTGACTTTGAATAAATTAGATTTACGCAGTGTTTTTTTTTACTACACTGCACCAGTTCATCTAGCACAATTTTGAATATAATTTCTGCAAATTTCGCTTAAATTAGCAGTCTTGTGCAAAACCGTTGCCTCTATTCACATCCAGTCATTTAAAGAAAGATGTTCTGTAAATGCAGGGTTCCAAGCAGATGTGGCAGGCTGATCACTTCTGGTACAGAAAATCAAACTCAGATGYTTTTCTGCTGGGAGTGGTTGTTTTACTGAAAGACAGCAGTTGTACTGTGGGCCTTCATGGACATTACAGCACAGCAGTACGGACTCAGATTCAGACTTTACTGTCTTTTAAACAATTTACGAACAATTCAAATAAAAATAATACATTTTGAAACCTGAATTATGATAGTTATGCTTCACGTGCTCAGCAAACAGAAATGTTCACATTTTATTTTCAAAAGTTATAATTTTGGCAAAAATGTTTATTGTGTTTTATCTAAAATTGGACATTTTATTGAGCAATGTTCTGTCTGTTGTCATATAGGCTAGTCACAAGCTAATTAGCTATTATCCACAAACAAATTAGTTATTACCCACAAGCTAATTAGCTTTCAGCCAAAAGCTCATTAACTATTAGCCACAAGCTAATTAACTATCCCGTTTCTGAGCAACGAATCCACCAATCACAGCAGAGCTCGTTTAAATTAGCTTCCGGTTGATTTACGCTAATTTTGTTGGCCAATTAGTTACCTGCACAAGAAACAAGACACAAAATTTGGTTTCAGTTGTGATTTGACTACTTGGCAGGTGAGAACGAAAACATGCATTTATTGTATGAATAAATAATTGAATGGAAAAAAGGCATTTTATTGAAAGCCCTGCTTTTCTCATTTTAATTTGTAATAAGTTTGTCAGATCAGATGATGTCACTGTTGTTATGTTAGCTGACTTTTTATAGGCAGATAAAAAATATATGTTTTTGTCACTAAATCTGACTACTATAATTTTGATTAAAAAAGCGGCGTCAACTTTCCTACAGGATAAGACAAAACTGTTATTTCAGCTTTTGTCCACTAGAGGTCGCTGTACCAGTGGAATAAAAGGGTGAGAGGCTTTTTTTTTTTTTTTTTTTTTTTTTTTTTTTTTTTTTTTTT